AAATCATTTGGGATCAAAGCAAAACCCCTTCAAGTTCAAAAGCACTAAAACTGGACTCTTTCTAGATGTACTCTATAATTAAAACTTTTAAAACATACAAAATGGTAAGTTTTAACAGATTGTACTACAAAAGAACTGTACATTTAAGATATTTAATTAAATTTAGCAAGAAATAAGTCTTGAGAWAWGATATTTAACTTCCAAAACTAGATATAGAACCATGATATAAGCATATAACMTGAAATCAATACCCATATATGCAGCTGGAATTTTTGGAAATGAAGTCTTATCTCCATTTCCTTTATCTGTCTCGGTTGTTTGTATCAGGGCATCAATAGGTTGATCCAGAAAAAAATAAGGTTAGTCCAGAAAAATTAGTCAAGTAAAAGCATTACCAATAATGCCACCATGATCCAATCGAAGTATAGAGGAAAAGAAAAAAAAATGGATATTTATGAGATCCCACTATCTAAATTCCATTCAAGGTGGGATGTGTATATATATTCTCTGTTTAGTTGTGTATCTCTTTTGGAAGCTTATATATATATATATATTCTCTGTTTCATGATAAAATTTCTCTAGTGTTACCTAGCAAAAAAAAATGACTACTATTTCAGTGGGTTCCAAAGGATGCAAATGAGCTGGCTGATTCTTTAGCTAAGCACGGGGTATATAGGGAGCAATTGTACTGGGCTCAGTTTGTAATTGCTTTTTCCTAGGGGTTTAGTTTACCCCTGTTCTTGGATCCCTATTGTACATATTTGCTTACACTAATGAAATGAATTGAGGTGACCTATAAAAAAAATCTAATAGAAAGAAATAAATTATTAGGCAAGTCAATACTAAGAAACTCTTGTATAAAAGTTATAACATCAAAAAAGCGACTAGCAGCCTGTCTTTTAAGCTTGGAAGTACAAAAGAAATCTTGATGCAAGAACCTAAAKCCTTGCTACATCAAATCACACTACATTAAATTGAGATTTTGGTAGAAAATCAATTGCAAAGAAGAAGAGATGAGAAAGGAGCAGAGGAAGACTGATATGCTTCATATCATATGATCACAGATTCTCTCTTTGAGTAAGAGGTTGCAATTGGAGAAATTGTTTAAATAATATAAATATAGTACCTTTTATGTTAACGAGGCTGGGTGTTGGTGCAATGGTTGGGTTGCTTCGTTGGGACTTGGGTGACCCTGGTTCAAATCTTGGAAATAGCCTCGTGCACTGGCAACAATTGGGAGCAGCATAAAAAGTCAACACTTCCCATTTCTCATTTTGAAACAGACAACACACTCGAAAAAAAAAACAAATAGAACAACCAACAAATTTTTCCAATCTCTAAACCCACTTTGGCAGTTCAATTCTCTATAAATCCTTTGTTATAACTCATTCCTTACCAGCTACTSCTAAACACCAATCAAAGCATTGATTATATCTTAACTTAGAGTCTCAGACAAAAGTAGCCAACTACAAAATAAATCTCAAAACTAATAATATCATTGGATATGAATATCAGAATCATAAATACAAGCATCAAATTGCTATTTTCTATCTACTCGTCACTTGTCTGAAAGAAAAGCCCCATCAAGACCAATGAATCTTTGCATCTCCAAAACTCAATATCTAATATTAATTTTCTTACAGAATTTCATACGTTATGGTGAGACTAAATATCTGAATCTGAAAGCCAAATTGAAATTTAACTCAACGAGAGCGCCGCGTCTGTTGCTAAGCCTCTGCAGCAATGTCTTTGTCCGCTTGAAATCTACTTTGGAATTGAAAACCTATTGGAAATCCATATAGACGTTTCCTCCAGATCTTAGATTCTTGTCTCCAAACCCAAGAACTCTATACGATGACCACAAACAACTAAACAACCAACAAGATTTGATGAATAAAAAAGCGAAAAAAAAGGAAAGACGAAGACAACTAAGTTTCTTGGGTTCTGGCCTTCTGGGCCTCTGCTTAGAAGGTTGTTCGAGGTTGGAGGCACAAAGGAAACTTTAATGCAAGAACGAAAACATAACTTTTATTACATTATACTAGCTTAGAATGTTTTCACCAAAATTAATTGGAACGATAGAAAAAAAATCGTGAATAAAAGAAAGGAAAAAAGAAAAAAAGACTTATAGGTTTTCAGATTATCAAGCTCAATACTCTTTGAGCATCTTTGGGTGGAACAAGCCTTCAGCACCAAAAGATCGACTCGCGGAGGTATGGAATAATGGAACGAAAAACAACAAAAAAAGGGTAGAACAGGACCGCTAGAGAGAGGGATTCATGGATCTTGTGTTACCTTCCACAGATATAGCCGGAGAAGCTACCGGAGATATGGCAGTTGGAACAACGGCTTCGAAGGGGAGACGAGCTTGTCGACTTCTTGCTCTAACAAACCTGATAGATTTTCTTAGCCTTTTCTTTTCTCACCGGGGTCGCACCAAAATGGTGCGATCCCGCTCACTAAATTTTGGGATCCCGCGTCCCTCTAGTTCCTCATCCCAAAACACTGTTTACCAGTAAGCAAACACAAGAAAGAGAGAATCATTCGGGAATATTCCCTTTTCTCATCCCTTTCTCATACCTTTCTCAGCAATCAAACAGACCCTAAGAGAAAGATGTCCAAGGACCCTGAAACCAATAATGAGATGTAGGGTTCTCATGCAGGACCTGATAATCCTCCAAATATGCCCTCATAGACCTACAATTGTAGATTTTTGTAGACTGGGTTTGTAAATTGCTTCCTTCAAAAAAACCTTCTTGATATCTATCATAATAAATCTACTTCCCCTGAAGTGGCATTCTGCCTACTCTGCTGAAATTGGTCGCTGAAAACTGCTTCATATGTTTCTCTCTACACTTTGAGAAAAGCTTTTGTTCAAGTTAATGTCTACAGGCATATTTTATGTAATGTGAGTTTTGGATGTTCTAATTTCATTCTTTTAACAGTTGATATGTTGCAGTAGGAATTTCTGATCTATCAAAAGTTGTACAGATGAACTGGTTGATATTGTTGCCTGCATTTCTATCAATATTTATTTTTTATGTTTATGTTTGCCTGTATGTACTGCCTGTTGAGAATGCAGGTTCAGGTTTGAGAGTATCCACTCCGTGCAACAAAATGCCAAGGGTTAGTACCTTATCTGGTGCACCCACCCAAGACCTTGGTTAGCTGGGACCATAGTTGTCAAGGTGACACCTAGGTGACAAGGCACCCATGGAAGGTCGCTTCACCAAAGCACCTAGCTATTTTTGTACAAGGCACCATAAAATATTTTTATGATATTTTAGTCATATAATATTACAATAGACATTATTAAACTAAATATATTCATATTTTAAGTTTATGATCATAATTCATATACTAGCTTCTCTTTTATGTTCCTTTTCATTTGGATTCAATTGACACACAAGTAGTGGATGCCTCTTGAACTCTTGAAGACCTCAAAGCCTGAACTAAGAAGCAAGGGAGAACTTGAACATTTCATCCAATCAACATACATGATTCTTCCTGCTCATGAATATGTTGATTTTTCTATGTTTTGGTTTGAAGTTTATAATTATTAGTGAAAGATGATTCCTGGTTGCTATGAAACTTGGGGAACTACCCTAGGATTTAGGGTTTTATTTAAAAAGAAAAGATCCATCGCCTAATTGATGCCTAGGTGGCTGCCTACGTGACTAGGTGTTTCCCATGTTGGCTAACTTCACCTTGGTGCCTTGAAAACTATGGCTGGGGCTGATATTGGCATACATATGCAAACAGATGAGGTATACACCTCTAGGTGTTTAATTTATTCTTATATAACAATTGAACCTTGTTTTCACCTGGTGTCCTGTCATGAACTGTTAAATAAGTATTTTCTTTCCAAAATAACATCAGCATAAATGCATATATTGTGTTTATTTGGCTGGGCTGGAATTGTTTTTTCTATTTTTTCACTCGTGTTTTGGCTACTGCTTACTGGATGCTTTTAGTTATTAATATAGTATTTTAACAGGGAAGAATGGCTGGCGTGTGGAGCTTTCTCATAATTCTAAGGGAGGTGGTGGAGGCCGTGGTGGTGGTGGACGTGGCCGTGGTGGAGGTGAAGATTTGAAGTGCTATGAATGTGGTGAACCAGGTCATTTTGCTCGAGAGTGTCGCTTACGAATTGGGTCACGAGGCCTTGGAAGTGGGCGGCGTCGAAGCCCCAGTCCACGATACCGTAGGAGCCCAAGTTATGGTCGTAGGTATGTTTCAAGTTTTCTCCATAATATATGTTGTTCAAAGCAAGGATTTCGATGCGTATCAGGTCATATCGGCTGATAATCAGTGACCTCCCAATACACCCCTACAGTGGGTGTTTTTGGGGTCTGACCTGGTTCAGGGGGTAGATGGGCCTTAAACCGACCCCTCTGAACCAGGTTGAAAAAAAACTAAAAAAAAGGAAGTGAGCCTTGATACAGTCCGATATTTTGAACCTTGGTTCAAAGTATTTATTTTACATATTAGCTGCTTGTATTATGTAATTTTTAACTCAAAGGAAATTTTAGTTATTGTCATGTGAAAGTAAGCAAGGTTATTAGGAATTAGGATTTCTTAGTAAGTTGCTTATAGAATTCAAGTGTTGATGTTAAAATGGTTCTCTTAGGAAAGTTCATATGGTTCATAGTGATTCAGCCTAGGAGACTTTATGTAGTTAAGAAATCTTCAGTTTAGAATGCTTTTTGTAAGACTGAGACGTTAACCTCCTTGCATTCTATGATGTTGAGATATGGATACTGGTATGGGATATGTGGATATGTGGATTCAGCTCCCTCTTCTTCTTCTCCCCCCACCCCCAAAGAATTCCTGATCTGGTTAATTTTTGGCTCATGTGTACCAATTTCTCATTTATGTTATGTAGGAATTTAATTTTCATATAAATTCCTAAATTTTGGGGGTATCTTTTTTAAGGGGAAAAAAGAAAAAAGATATTTAGATGAGATAAAAAGGATAAGATAGTAGTACAATACTTATACATTTCCAATGTACACGGGTCATGGGCTGATGTAATTTTTTGATTTCTTTAATACGATACTTTCTCAAAAAAGGTAATTCAATAGAATTAGGAAGATTTGTAAAAGGATTAGAAGTTTGAATCCCACGAGTGAGGTAATATAATTTAATCTTGGTGGAATAGGGGCTATTTTTTACAAAAGAAATTTCTATTAGATAAAAGAAGGGTGGGCCATTACTTGAATTGGTAAAACCTTTGGCTGACAAGTGTGAGAAAGATCTTCATTTCTTAGAGTGGTCACTTTGTTTTAAAATGCTGGAGGATAGGTCCATGTGACCGTGTGTGGTCCACCCCTCCCATGACCCTGGGTATCCAGGACTAGCATTGGGTAATATCTTTTTTTAAACCTTGACGGGAACCATTAATTATGAGGATTGACTGTTGATCTCCTTTAATGTGTATGCCCTAGGTAGACAGGCTGTCCTTTATACAGGTTAATCATCTTGTTTGTGAAGTTTCCTGTAAAGTGTGAAGTGTAAATGCTACTGATTAAAGTTGAAAGGATTTCTGTGCGGTGTCATACTGCATGGATATTTCAGTTTATTGATTTTGCCAATATCAAAAAAGGGCATTTTTTATGCTACAGGAGTTATAGCCCTCGAGGAAAAAGATCTCCACGACGTCGCAGCATAACACCACGCCGTGGCCGCAGCTACAGCAGGTCCCCACCATATCGCCATGCTCGTGATTCGCCTTATGCTAATGGGTATGCCACTATTCTATTCATCTGTGATTCTCTTACATGCATAATCCCTAAGGCCAAGACTGTTGAGAGTATGAAGCCATTTAGTAAATGGCCTGCTTTGCAGTTAAGCCTTCAAACTGGTACAGCAATTGATTGTCTCATAGCACCTCAATGTGGATGATCACATCCAAAGTCTTGATGGTAGTCATGGCCTAACCTGCTCACTTTGTATTTGGATAGGTCTCACTTTGTATTAGATTTGTCATTAGGAAATAGACGGTAAACCCTCCCCCCCAGAAAAAAAAAAAAAAGAAAAAACAGAAAGGAAATAATAAGGAAAGAATTGTGGTATGATTTTAGTGCTCAGTGTAATTTTGCCCATTTAGTGGGTGACTGAAGTTGCAGTATAGGTTGAAATTTTGTTCTACCAACAATAAAATGGTTAAATTCCCCAATTTTTTCATGATTCTTCTCTCTAGACAATGGAATCCAATATATCCTAATGTCTGATCTATGTTTTCAGAGATCAACGCCGGAGTCGGAGCTGAAGTATGTTGTCTCACAACTCAATCTTGGCAATTCTGTAGTATTAGTAGGAATGGTCGTTAAAATTGATAGAAAAATGACTGGTTGACAAATTAGAAAAATATTTATCTTGGGTTTGTTTGGAATTCTTTTCGCCTGAGTAAATGGCTTCTATATATTTCTTAGCTGCCAAAAAGAGGTGCTTTGACTCCTCAAATTTGCTCGGACATGTTCTCTTCAGCATACTGAAACTTGGAGAGGTTAAGCTGCCAAAAAAAAGAAGAATAGAAGAAGGGAGAAACCCTTGTGCAGCGTCAGAAGATGAAAGAAAGAAAGAAGAAAAAAAAGGGGAAAAATCACCTTAATAGCCGTTTCAATGGAAGTTGAGCCGCTGAGGAGAGCACGATTCATTTGTAGTTTTCACTTCGTTTGAACCACGAATAAGAAAAGAGGGAAACCCTCTACTCTGACTCCCACGGTCCCACCCCAAGTCCCTATTCCCTAATGCTCTTTCATCTTTTTACATATTTTACCCTATTAGAAACCTTTAAACTCAGGTCTTTGAAACGGGATCTGCTCCTCACACATGGGTGTCTCACAGGCACATCCATTCTGCATTGAAAACATCTTTCATGAATAATAACATGAATGATAAGATGCGCATGTGAGGTCGGTGTGAGGCGCCCTGTATAAGGAGCAGATCCCGTTCCAGGTTTTTTAGGCTACTGCCTCAATTATTCCACCTACGCCTGGAGAACAGAGGCATACCGCCCTGCAACATCTTGGATGCCTTTTAAAACAATAATCACAATTCACACAGGGGGTAGCCAACTATCTATAAAGGAGTGTGGATATGGGCCTTAAATTTATGGGCGAATTGAACAATAAAAACATCATTTCAACAAAAAAAGTGGCGTTAAGATCCACTCCAGCCTTTTATTGCTCCGAAACTCTTATCTTCAGTTCTTGATTCGTCAACATAAAAAGAAACCACACACTACTGGCCGGAAGTGAAGTCATGGAGTCCATATCTCACGTTTGAAAGCTTGACCAATCAAAGCCAACCTTGTGAATATTGACTTATTGATTACTTTTCAATTTTTCATAGGCGAGCGTACGCACCTGGCGTTAAGTGCGTCGATCTGGCACTCGTTTGGGAGAGATAAGCTGAGTATTAGGTTCAGCTGCTTTAGGGCATGCGATCTTAAATTCTTAACTGGTTGAAGGGACACCCAAAAAATGGCCTGCTGACAGAGTGACAGCCGATCTGGTCTATTCAGAGTTTCCTATCATCTCAGAAGCCGCTGAGCTTCACGAATGGGGTGTTATTTTTCTTTTTTTTGGTATTGGTGCAGGCATCATTAATAACTTCCCTGACCCCTTTTTCCTCAAAAGTTATGGTTGAGAAATTTGATTTCATGTCAACACTGGAATCCCTTGGTGACGTAAGGATTATTCTCTTTTAACGACTTGGCACTTGGCAGAATCTTCGAGTGAGCTACAAATAAAATCATGTACAACGAGCTACTAGATTTTCTGCCAAATTAATTCATTAGGACTAAGGGGTCCGATTGACCACTTGGGATTTGTAGATTGTATAGTTTGTTTCAATTATGGCTTATTTGAAAAGAGTACAAATACAAATAAGTACAATCTAAATACAAATACAAATAAGTACAATCTAAATACATACAAAATAATATAAAATACAAGATTTTGTAATTTATAAATTTGTATTTGTATTTAGTTTGGAAGGAGTAAAAATGCAAATATATACATTGCATACATACAAAATACAAATATAAATATGTAGAGTGTAAGACCTTATATTTTGTATATATTTGTATTTGTATTCCTTCCAAACTGAGCATAAGGAAAAAGTTTGAGGGTCACTTAATGAGCATGAGGAAAAGTTAAGGGGTTTTAAATTTTTTATTGTTCAGTAACTTCAGTCCACTCACAAGCAATGCTTTAAAAACCAACCTATAGGTCGTATCATTTTTATCTCAAGTCGTGGGTCACTGGTCTGATTATTTGGTAGAATGGGTCTGACCATACCACATCAACAATATGTAAATTCATACATATATATGTGTGCATGTGTGTAGCGGGCCAAATGGAGCTAAAGGCTTTTTAGGACAAAAATAGCAGGCCAAGGTGCCTATGGCCCTTGTGACGCATAGATTTTGAAAAATTACCCAAAATAAAAGAAAAATCGCTCTAATTGAATATTAGAGTGCATAGTTATAGATTCCTGAAATCTATATATACGTGCATTTTAGTATACAATCTGTGATCCCGTTATTGGATTTAACAGGTCAATGGTCCAACCATATGACTCCACATTTTTTTGACTATTCTCTGAGTATTACTAAAACCATAGTTTTCAAAATCGGACCGGAAAAACTAGGAACCGGTCACCTGATCGGTTTCGTTTTTCCCCAAAACCACTTTTTCCCTCAAAACCGTTGATTTTGGTCAGCAAACCGCTGAACCGGCCGGTTAACCATTCAAACTGGTAACCGGACCCTGACCGATTCGGTTTTAAAAACTATGACTAAAACCAAACCCAGAATCTTGATAGGATGGCCGTTTGAACAATTCAACCGGCCGGTTGAAAGCACTGCTCATAAGTGGGCTGTGAATTTTCCAAGGTAAATAAAACCCAAAAAAAACTAATAAAAATACCTAGGTGGACTGAACAAAATTGGTTGCATTTGCATCAAAAGTTCAATTCAAGGGCGTGTTTACCCAAGATTGGTTGCATTTGCATAGCCCGCTTGTATACGCATACGCCATCGTTTTTGTAGGTCATCCCCCTCCCTGGAGAGAGAGGAGAGTGACAACTTCCAAAAGTGAATGAATTTAGATTTTAGAGGGTCAACCGGTCAACAAAGTGAAAAGGATTTCAATTTTCTTCCCCGGATAACATACGCCTTGGTCTATGGCAACAACTGCGAGTTCGTCCTTCAGTGATCCACAACCACAACCACCGCGAAGACTTCGTCGGTCTTCTTACAACATTTAAATAAACCCTTAATTCAGAAACCCAAATCATGGAGACGCAGAGCAATCGGATCATGATGAGAGAGAAATTAGGGTTCTCTGGGATACTCAAATCAGCCCTGACGATTCCTTACAAGAGTCCCAGCTTCCTCATCTTCGCCTTCACTACTTCCCTCCCTCTGTTTTTCACACTGCTACTCCATGACATTATTGTACAACGGTCCCTCATTGAAGCATCAGCAGCTATGAGATCACTTTCCTTCGGTTATACCATCCAGTTCCACTTTCCTAGCTCCGTCTATTTCTATGACTGGAGTTCACCACTTGAGACTGCAGGGAGATTGGCTCGGTCTATGTCCCATAGAATTATTCAACTGGGTCTCCTTCGTTTGGTTCCTCTCCATCTTTTCTACCTCCTCAACACAATCGCTGTGGTTCATTCAGCATCTCTGATCTATACAGGAGAGACACCAGTGAGTCTTAAGGAGATGTTGCAGATACCCAACAGCCCGAGCAGGGGTGAGACTGATGAGAGGGCCTCTGATCACATCTATCTATGTGTTTCTGATGTCTTCTTTAACTTTTCTGGCACTGATTTGGCTTGTGACCTATTACTTCTTTTTCGCAGCAGAAAGTGTCATATGTGATATTTTCTTCAAATTGTTAGGTGGGGTTTTTTCCATCGCCCTGTTTGTGAAATGGTTGGATTGGACTACCATATGGAATATGAGCATCGTAATCTCAATTCTGGAGGAGAGACGAGGGATTGAAACACTGGAAGCCTCTGTCTATTTTAGCAGAGGAAGCAGGCAACGTGGACTTCTTTTGACCACTGTCTTCTTCGTCTGGTCGTTTTGTATCATGGTTTCAGGTCAATATATGGCAGGCCACGGAAAATTGGGTGGAATCCTAAGCACATCGATGCTTGTTAGCTTGGGATGTTTAGTTAATACGGTGAAGTGGATTGTTTGCATGGTCTATTACTATGATTGCAAAAAACGCATTTTAGAGAAGAAGATTGATGTGGAGGAAGGTAGAGAAGTTGAGACAAATTAGTTAATATCACACGACAGTGTATGTGTTTAACTGAAAGGGCGTGGAGGCAAGTATTTACTGTGTAATTTTCTCAATAAAGACTAACAAAAAGGGAAATAAGCCCAAATGCCCGGACTCAGGCCGTCGATTAGCAATTATGTGGTTTCTCCCGACTACTATCTACACTTGCCCACCCAAAAAATAAACAAATATAATTTACTACTTAGGTTGATCATTTCTGCCCGGTCCCATCATGATCATCCCTAGTTTTTTTTTTTTTTCAATGTTTACAGTCGGATCACAAAAATTGGGAATCGGTCACTTCCATTTCACCTTAGAACCGTCTTTTGGGAAAAGATCGTTGATTTGGTCAATGTTTATCTGGGTGGCCAAATCATTTGAACTGTCGACTCGAACAACGGTTTTTGGCTATTTTTTATTTTGTCAAAATGGGCTATCCATTCAGTTCAAACAGTCGGACCATTTGACCTGGGAGCTAAACTCCTAAATGATTCATTGTCCAGTTTGATTTTAAAAACCTTTTTTTTTTTAACTCTGGCCCTGTTTGTTTTTTGAGGAAATAGGAGGAAAGTTGGTCAACATGAAAGTAATTCTCATTGACCAATTTTACTGTATTCTTTGTTCAATAAGCTATAGGTATCATGGTAAATATAGTTTTCTCAGATATACAACAATATAAGTAATACTTATCTCCTAGGAATTAAAATAACATAGACATATATACTTACCATGGAAAAGATATGATATCCGAAAAAGCAACTGACCAACAAACTGGAATCATAACCGTATTATGTATCAAAATTCATGGATGGATTTTGATTGATCAAAATTCTTTCCATATCATATCTTTTTCGTATCATAGATTTTCCCTTACCCAAATAAGTAGATTCTTGAAAAACAAACGCACCATTTATGAAGTAACGGTATGTTCAAATCCCAACCCAACACATGGTAGGGATACGGGATCTGCTACCTACAAAACTTCCACCAACAATTTATTGATTTATAATTGCACATCTCAAACACGTTTCAGATTTGTATATTTGTATGTTGTTATTAATGGGTCCTATTTGACATTTGTGGCTACAAACCATGTTCGAATCGAAGCTTTGTGGGTAGCGCTTCCGATCACCGAATGGATTGAGCTGGACTTGCTTCTATTTCTATAATATCTTTCTTTGAGTTTTTCAAAACAGTGATTGGGGGGATCGGATCTGCAACCGATTTTACATGCATGATGAGGTCGGTGTGAGGCGCCCTGTGTATTCGTGATTGCGCACTGCCGAAGTCGTTCAGGTTGCCTTTCTTGGCTGTGGATTTAAAAAAAAACCCAAAAAAAGTCTCCCTCAATGAAATTGAAATCCTTGCAAGCACCCTGTTGATGGACGCGTAACCGGTATTAAAGATGAAATTTTTAGGGTGAAATGAGAACAATTTGTGTTTTGTGTTGGCATGCATCCTATTTGAAATGAGCAAACAAAAAGCTACATCCACAGTTCCAGTCCGTGTTCGTGAATTGGGAGTGCTTCATCGGATATTTTGTGCTTTTCAAATTGGAAAAGCTAAAAAAATATATTTTTCATGCCAAAGCGAAAACCGAAATGCTCTCCAGGTCCTAGTTTTACGGGTTAACCGGGCAGTTCGCCGGTCCAACCCGCCAAAACCATCTTTTAACTAGAACGTAGAAAGACCACCAGTTAAAAGTGATTTTTTTTTTAAAAAACCATTTAGACTAAAAAGCACTTCTTCCGATCCAAATATGGTCTCATTGCATCTTCATCATTGGTCTTTCCTCTTCAAGGTTCTCCAATAAGCAGGTCGATCATAACCATATACATACGATTCATGCTACACAATACGTGTGTATACCAACGTCAGCAAACAGTTCCTCGTATCCCAACAATGAAACGAGGGGGAATTAGGAAAACAATAATTCATGCTAGAAACTCCTGGGAATGAATTATGAAGGTGCCTCTCGCATATGAATAACTGAAGGAGTCACAACATGATAGATGACAATAAATTCTTAATTTCTCAATATTCCCACCACAGCTTTCTTTGATTTAACATACTCTCCTCCTGCTAAGGCTACCAAATAAAATTAAAACCCCGCTTTTATTCAACGATCATGGCTGCCTTGTTAAACTGCAATATCCAAATTCTGATCCTCAGTTATCTAAGTCTTGGAATCAATCACCTTCCTTGCGAAAGATGGCAAGCAGAAAGCTGCCGAGTGGATCTGAAAAGGAATAAATTCTTGTAAGTAACGATAAGACATGAACAGAGGTTTCAAGATGGAAGCAGAGAAGGAAAGGAAGGATGACCTCCGAGTTGTAAAACTTCAAGGGTCCCTTGGTTTTTACATGATCTCCACACACATCTATTGGGTTCACTGGATGCCTGAAATCAACTGCTGGCCCTTCAGTGGAGCAAAGCATGAAACCTATCACCCCACTGCAGCAAGATTGATCAATAACATTAGTAGAGTCGTTTTGTAATTGATAGTAAATGCAATGGCTGAAATACATGTATAGTTAATTATACGCAAGCTGTGCTCCATGTGTGTGTGTGTGTGTGTAAAGCAGGGGTAGATCCCAGATAGCGCATGCCTTGGATATGTAGGAACTGTCGTCCATGCATAATTAACCGAGCCTTTGAATACTTGACGGCAGTTAGCAACAATATCTTCAATGATGTGCATGTGAAGCCATATGCTTTCCGCCTGGGTGCAGACAACTCCTCCTGGGCGGAGAGCCCTTGCCACTGACTCAAAGAACGGCTTCTCAAAAAGCTCTTGTGCAGGCCCTGAATAGTGAAGTAATGATTTAAGGATCCAAAACAAACAAAACTCAAGTACCCATTTAAGCTCAAAGTGACAGGTTGCAAATGGCATTTACCAATTGGGTCTGACGAATCCACTATAATTGCATCATAAGTACCTTCAGGAACAGCATTCAAAAATGCAACTCCTGCAAGATTAAACAAAGCCAATAAGAAAATAAAACACTGGAATGAAAGGAGGAAAAAAAAAATTAACAAACTGTTTCATAAAGGTAGAACTTGCCATCGCCAATGTGTAGGGTTACACGAGGATCCTCATATCCAACTGCCAAATCTGGAAAAAATTGCTTGGAAACCTAACAGAAGAGAATAAAATCAAGAACTGTAACCAGGCTGATAAAAAACAGTTGAACAATGAAATTGTAGTGGGAAAAATAGTTGCTTAGTTTTTTTTCTTTTTAGCTCCATAAGTGAACAATGGAAAACTATATTCTTTTGGCATCTAAAAGATATAAAAGATCAAATTTTCAAAGAAGCTTCCCTAATGCATGAGATCAACATTTAGTCACATGCTTTAGGCAATAAAATTTTCCATCCATGTGATTTAATAAATTAGAACATCTATATAATTTACAGTTTACTTACATCAACAACCATTTGATCAATTTCACATATATCTATCTGTTCAACTGAAGAATGGCGAGACACTTCCCGCAGAACACCACCATCTCCTCCTCCAATCACCAACACCTAAGAAACAAAATATTGACTCAATTAGAAAAAAAGTGTTAAGTGCCAATTATTCTCTGTGAAAGTTTTGCTGCATACTTGTGACAAATGACCTTCCAATGAGTTGAAATTTTTCCAAATTATTCCACTCATGCTTGATATCCCATTTTTTCCAATGGTAAATTTCCTCTTTTTTATTTTGAGAGATAATAAAAAAATTGAATTAAGTATGAACTACAACGAGGCCGAGAAACCCTCAAACATGCACAAAAAGCCCTTTTTTACTTCTTTTTGAGATAGAGAGGGGGAGAGGGTCAGGACTCTGGACTCTTGAGTCAAACTTAAATAGCCCTTCTCATGTTTTACCTATTTTCAATAACTCCAAATTTTTTCCTCTTTTTAAGCATGTTCTCATAAGCCATTACCTATGTTTTGTATGCAAAACCCACGCTTGATATCCCATTGTTCTAAAAAATTGTCAATAGACTTCCATCCAAACAAGGGGTAATAAATATTTCTCCTTTTCACTTTCTATATGTGTTGGTTGGGAAGGGGGTCCAGATTCTTGTCTTGAAGTTTAAATAACCCTTCCTTTATCACAGTTGTAGGTAACTTGTTTTATCTGTACCCCACTTTTGAGATCTCAAAGTTCTCTTTTTTAAAACGCTCCCCTATCTGTTCTAACTCCATTAACTGCTTGTTTCCATGCTCACATGTGCTTAAGAAAAGAAACAATGGAATGGCAATTGGAATAGATCACAAAAATATTAAGTAAACTAAGTCAGATTCCACCAGGCTCAACCCAAACATCACATTTCCAGACTAGCATTTTAGACCTTCCCTGACCTAATAATGGGTTGGGTTGGGCTTGGATGGACACTTCAGGCAACCCAAGGCACTTTGCACAGGTGGTAACACCTGCTAAACTAATACAAAGAAACCTCCCTACCCAATTAAAATTCATGGAAACAGGCAACTCAGTCTTGTTCAGATATAATAAGTATGCATGACAGCATCACCATTATGTGTGAAAGATTATACACGACAAACATGTATTATAGCAGTTAGAGTACAGTAAAATATATGCAAGTGAGATAAAAGCCTTTCTGTCAAGAAACATGGTTAGGCTGAGGCATCTCAAAATTTAAAGATAAAAGACATAATAGTATGATACTACTCAAACTGCACAAAGTAGACACAAGTATTTGGTTCTATGCTTATACTAAGTATGCAGCAGCAAAATCTTAGCAGCAAAGGTAAATATATAACTAATATAATTTTTATTTTTCTATATTAATAAATAATGACAGTATGAATATTGATTAGTTCTGTATAAAGTATGAAACTACCTTCTTGGGGTTTGAAATAGAACAAAGGGGAAGGTGAGTAATCATTTCTTGGTATGCACATTCGTCCCTCTCTGTGAGCTGAATCACCCCATCCAAGACAAGAACCTTCCCATATGTTGATGACTAAAACAAGAAATACAGGAGTGCATTTTAAGTAATATAAAATTATATGTAATATGTTGAGAAAAATAATTAGCAAGCAAGAGAACTTGTATTTGTTTACTTGAACGCTACCTGGAATATCATAACATTTTGGTATTCAGATTTTCCCTGGAACAAGATCTTTTCTACCTTCAAGGAGTGTGCCTCTCCTACAGAAGAAAAAATAAAGTCCTGTTATTTATGCATGCCACCTTGTACATCCTCTTATTAAGGTGAAGAATAATATTAAAAGCTGCATTACAAGAAAATGTGCAGTTATTATAATACCTTAAGTTCCAACTTGAATTACAAAAAGAAGTTCCAACATTAAAATTTTATATAATATTTGCATTACAAACAAACATGTTATGCACATAGATACATGATCAGAAAAGGAGGCTTGGAATAGTAAACCTCTGACAAAACCACATGTCTGTTGCTTCCATAAGTAAACAAGAAATTTGTACTAACGGAAAAGGAATTGCACACAACACCACATAATCACAACCAGTTTCTGGAGATTGATAAAATCAGGTTTCTCCAACATTTCACCAAGATCTCAAATTTTTACATGTTACAAATAAAAACTTTGCTGGTAAATCAAAATTTCCAAATGTTATGGAAATACAAAGAGAAGCTTCAAGTGTTTTAATCCCAGGAGGTTTAAGTCTCCACTTTGGGGAAATAAGGAAGCTTAGCCACATTTCAGGAAAATTTGGAATCATACCAACAATGTAATCTAGACACTACCAAGAATGTAGTACCTGAACAGAGTCACAGACTAATGGGCAGGAAAATATAAGCCACAGTAAATAAAATATCATTTCCATAGCATGAGAATTGTTAGTAGATAGCAAGATTTATTAAAAAGAATGAAGAGAACACAGAGTGCTGGAATGACCAAGAGATACAGTCAAACAGACCTCTCGACACCATACAAAACTAAATCATCTGCCTCTTCATTGATCTGCCACTAAAAGGAGTTTTTCTCTTTATAAATTTGAAGACATTGATAGCAGAGATTCCCATGCACATAGACATGCAGAGTGACTTTCTTATTGCGTCCATTCTTGTATTTTATTTATTCATTTATTTATTTTTTAGTGGGGTGCTGAAGCATTCCCATGGATGCATCTAGGAGAAATTCCAAATCTCCTAACTAAGGTTAGGGGCAATATAGTAAGTTTTCTTGAGAAAAGAAAGCATTTTAATGGTTGTCACAAATAATCACAACGAGAAAATCGTAACAATACCAGGGCCTGGATAGACATAATAAACTCTTCCTTGATAATATTGTTTTCTTTAACTTTTTATAGTGAATGAATGGAAGTTTTAAGCAGTTGGACAGTGCAAAAATCAGTAATCATAATTACATTCCAGAGATGTATGCACATAAAAAATCCAAGACTGTTACTAATTCACTCACTGTGCTCCCTCCCTCCTAGATATCAATTTAACCTATTCAAGGAACTAAATTGTAAGAAAGGACTAACAAGAAAAAAAAATAGTACAAGAAGCTTTATAATTAAATGGTACCAATAAGCACCAGGATTCATGCTTCTGTTAAGGTTAATTGCAATGAAAGAGATAGAATAAAGTAATCACCAGAAAAAAAAATTAAAATAAGAGTTAAGATCAGTGTTTTAAAAGTGCAAGGTGCAAAAAAAAAAGTTCAACGGCCATTTTGTGCCCGAGGCACAAAGCAGTACATAACATATTAAAAAAATGAATTTTAATTTTAAACCAAATGTTTTAAAAAGCCTACAAACGCAAACCAAAATAAATAAAGCATATTCAAAGTGAAAATGCAAAAATAAAATAAAAATAGCATACAAAAAATATTCAAGCATGTGAAACTTTTAATTTCTTTACTTCTTTCCCAATCGCATTACTTCAAATAACTAATGTGATGATAAAAATCCCAACCGCTAGGCTTAAAATAGCAAAAGAAGAGAAAATTTTGATTGAAAAGGCACACACCTGGGCTGAAGTGCACACCAGGCACACACCTGTTGAGAGTGCTGTGCCTGGGGCCTAGACGGGGCACATACCTTAAAATGCACCTTGCCTGTGTGCCTAGGCACACCTCAGGAATGTATTTTAAATCACTGAGTAAAATAGAATAGAAAAAATAGAAAGCTTGCTATGGTAGAGGAGAAAATTTAGGGGGTCGTAGTGATTTTAAAAAAAGCACAAACTGAAGTGAAAAGAAAGGAAGAAATGGAACTTTTTGGATGAATGTATAGTTCTATTGCCAATAAAAAGGAAAACAATTGAGCAATCCCTATCCAATGGCAACATCTCCCAAAGACTACTAAAAATTGTTGAAAAGTAAATAAACTTCTAAATAATCAACATCCAAAAATGCCCTGGCTGATCCAAGTGTGAACATGAAAAAGCATGGCATATAATGTTAGAAAATAAGGGTAAAACATCAAAAGAAAATATTCATAAAAAAAAAAACATCAAAAGGAAAATGATGACAAAAAAACATCAAAAGAAGAGGACACCCAAAGTAAAATACAAAGGCTAACTAAGGCTTGCTCCTTGGACGCTAGAACCTTCTCTACTTTCTCCCTCCAAAACCAGCAGCTAGGTCGGGCTTCACATGCGCCCTTCCTGAGGAAAGGACATTTCCTAATCCTACCCACCTTTTCCCAACAATCTCAAAATTTAACAAAATTGAAAATTAATTAAACATCAGAAGAGGGGAAGAGGGAGGGCATAAAACCTGACCCTTAAATAGCCAAATCACAGCCCAGAAAAATGGGGTAAAACTAGCCAACTTTCAGGCTGCGAGTTCAATACATCAACATGCAGAGATGATCGTCCACTATTCTTAAATCTTAGCTCTTCGGTCCTTGTAAAAAAATCATTCTTTAGTTAGAGAAGCGCCGAACAGAAAGTATGCCCTACACAGTGCTTTATTCAGCATCCAAACACACAAAGGCACGGTTGGAGAAAAAAACACAGGAAACGTATTACAGTATAGTAACCTGTTGACCAGAACTTAGCTTCAAATCAGAGACCCTCCTAGAGTCCATGAAAAATTAAATCCATCTCTTTCAAAACCAAAAGTAGCAGCATAAATCAGAAAAAAGAGCAGCACGCATCTTCAAAATACCTAGAGAAGAACTAGCTGATTAGAATAGTATCCTAGGATGCCATATATGTCGCTCCAAAGAAAAAAAAAAAGGAAAAATCTCCATAAAGACATAACACAGCAAGAGAGACCATGATTTCAATTTGAACCCGTAAATAGAAGCAAACAAGAAGAATGTTAGCGCAAAAATGAAGAGAAAGAAAATCTTTTAATAGCAAAACGGAGATGATAAATCAATCGGATTAGTGATGAAAAGAACAGGGAAAAGAAAAATCCATAAACCCAAAAATAAAGGATTAACATACAATAAGGAATAAATAAATAAGTAATCTGACTGAACTGTACTAGTCTCCGAATACAACATGGTCAAGTTGGTCTATTTTTCTTTCATAACCAGCTAATAGTAGAAATACTACCCATATTTTTCAACTCAAAACAGTCAAGCAGAAATACGCTAATGAAGTATAATATCTGAGATAGATAAGGAACATACAAAGAGAACAAAAAATAATAGCCAACCCCAGTCTGAAAAAGAATAATAAAACATTAATCAAAATCGAAATATAGATGAGAAGAGCCCAAACAGATTAAAGGGCAAATAATTTAAGATAAACCCACCAGGCCACATTGGGCTAATCTCGGAAAACCACCCGGGAATGACAGAGGAGATAGAATCAGGCTCTTTCACGACCTCCATCTCAACGGAAATACCATTCTGTTTGTTCTCGGCCGCAGCTTCATCTTCCCTCTGTCTCTTAGCAGGTAAATCAGTAGAAAATGCAGCAGACTCTGCTACACTCTCCATGGATTTCTTCTATCCCCTCGTATCGTCTGGAAAACTCTAAAGGAAACAAGAACCGGTAAAGCTCTATCTGGTAATGGAAATCGAAGCCAAAACCTGAGCCTGCTAACAGTGGGAATGGGAAGAAAAGATAATATCTTGCAGACTTGCACACAACAAGCTATTAGGGAACACTCTCTTTCTTTCACTCTTCACTCTCCCGGTCTCCCAGACTCCTTGCTAGCGCTGTAACCTAAGAAAGCAAAGAAAAAAGAGCACAATCCCAAAACAAATAATTGTTCCAAAGTACAATATAAAATGATAGAGTCCTCAATTAGGGTTGAGATTGACGAAAGTATGAAAATGCATAGTGTGCATTGATATTTGTACAATAAAGAAGTTAAAATTAATATTTTTTAATAATAATTTTATAAATATTAATTTTATTATTTGTACAATTTTTATGTTAAAAAAATTAATAATTGAATGGAATAAAGCCAAACATATGTCAAAGAAATACAAGCCAAGTTCCATGAACCAAGTATGAGTATTGATTTGTTTCCCGTTTTATTTTGAATATAATCCAGTATTTTGGGCATATCTTTCGATGTCAAAATTCAGTGATTCTTGAGGCTATGGACAGTTAAGAGATACGGCTATAATTCATCTGTTGATAATTTCCTTTAAATCAATTTCTATCTAGGCAAAAATTAGGGGATAAAACGTGGATCCGAATTGAGTAGATTGAGGAGGCTGGCAGCACAATAAAAAAGAAAAATCTAACTTAAAAGGGAGATGACTGGCAGAGGTTATTTTGGCATTATTTTCTCAATCTTTCACAGAAGAGAATATGGGAGAATGATGTCCAAGCGCGGCTAAAACTTCAACAAGGCTAAGGAAAATCTTGATCAATGAGTTTTACTTGTTATTTTACTTTGATTCCTTGAAAGATTTCAATGTTTAATTTTGTTTTTGAGATATTTCTTTTATTATTTTGATAAACCCTTAAGCTATATTCTTCAATTTCCATATAAGATTAGTCATGCTCTTTTTATGTACAATTTGTTAGAAAATAATTGATTGGGTATATTTATTTTATGAGTTGATCATTGACTACAATGCTGTCAATATGATATGTTGTAATAATAGATCATTCTGTTATTCATCGAAAATTAATTCTCTCAAAACAGATACTTTTGTTCTTGTCGTTTGTTTCAATGTTATATTTTCAAATTGTTTGTTTGGGATGTGAAACTTGCAATTGAGTAATAAATAAGAATCAAAGTCAATACCAGTTAAGCAAATCGATCAAGTGAATCTCGAAGTTTCATCATTTAATCATCGTTACTTTTATTCAAATATTTTTGCTCTTCTTTTTATTTTTAGAAAATAATTTTTTATACATTATTCACTCTTAGCGATAACTCCTTTTGTTGGTTTAATCAGCTTCTCTATGGATTCGACACCTAAAACTACGCTTCAACGACCACTTAGCCAAGGGTAATAATTTTGGGTGAGACAAAGACTCAAGACCTTTTCTGGTCCTCTCGTTGCTAGAATATCGCCTCGGAATTTGGGCGCAAGGAACACAAAATAGGAGCCATTTTACACAATTGCCACTACTTTTTTGCAAGGGGTATGCTTGTAATTTTGGGATTTTTCTATTAAAGATACCTCCTTTGCTTTGCCTCTTTTATTAATATTTTTGGGCAATTAGCGTCAATTATTATGTTTTTCTGTGCTAAGTTGCAATATTCTCTCCGTCTACCAAACAAATATTCCTTATTTCGATTAAACTTTTATGAAATGCCAAGGCAAATATATGGATATCTAAGAGGTTGTTTGGGACCGTTGAAATGTGTTTCACAATCTTTCCGTTTTATAAGTGGCCCCAATTTATAATGACAATTATTTGACATCTCAAAAAGTGGTTAGCTTTTTCAAATTACAATATGCTATGTCACAAAAGTGATCCAGAATCATTAAGGCGATTCAAGAAACTAAAATTTAGTATTTCAAGAAACCCTTCCTTTCCCAAATCCCAAAGCTAATAATTACAAAAACAATTTTTTTAAAACATGACTACTAATTACCATTTTTTTACCGATTCCATTTATTTGCTGATGTGGCACGCATGACACATCAATAGAAAAAGAAAGGTCATGAAATGTGCTGGTCCCAAGCAACCTCTAAGTGGCAAATAGCTTACTTTTAGAGGCTTATGGGTTAACAAGGTGCCAATCAGCTAGTTGGTAAGGTCTCCTGCGTCGTAGTGGGGAGACTATGATATAATCCCACCTGCATTTGGTTTGGGGGATGAGTTATTCCCATTGTGTCCCTTTGTAGGATATCAAAAAAAGGTTTATGGGTGTAATCCAAATGAATCTAGTTGAGTTTTGGATGGTTTGTCTCAAGTTTGATTCAAAAAATTGAAGTTTGAAATTCAATTATAGGGTCGAGTTTTGAGTTTCATATTTGAAATTGACTATAGTCGATACTCATGAATTATTCAAGTTCAGCTTGGATCAATCCAATTTAAACTTGATTATAAAGTTATTTATAATATTAATATAAAAAATAATATTTATTTATATTATAAACAAATATACATTAAAAATAATATTTTATTAGAAGCTTGATTAGGCTCATGAGCTACTAAATGAGATATTACGAAGCTCGAACTTGGTTTGACTAATTACTCAACTTAACTCGATAATCTTCATCTGGCCAAATTCGAATATTTAACAAGTTGAAGCTAAGCCCAAGTAGCTCGGGAGTTGACTCGACTCATTTACACCCTATTAGGGACGGCCATGAGCCGAGCTCTTCACGAGCTACTCGAGCTCAGCTCGTGAAAAGATCGGCTCGTGAGGCTCGCGAGCTGAGCTCAAATATATATATATATATATATATATATATATATATATATATATATATATTGTAGAAAATGATACATATAATAAAAATATTATAATTCTTAATTTTTTAAATATCAAATAAAAAGTATTTTTACATATAATTTTTTATTTTTATAAAACATTTTTTTTCAAATTGAGCTCAAATCGAACCGAGCTGGAGCTTACGAATTTTTGACTCGAGCCGAACTTGAACTCAAGGTTCTAGCTCGAACTGAGCTCAAGCTCCTTGTAGTACTTTGGCGAGCCAAGCTCGAGCCTCGTACTATTCGGCTCAGCTCAAATCCACCCCTATACCCTATAAAGGTCTCTAGCCGGTTGTAACGGAGGATTGAGTCCATCCTAAGATAGGAGGTTTGGCTACCCTATTGTGTATCCCACTCCCACTGCCAAAATATATTAAAGTGCAAACTTGCCATATATAATACTCCTTTTAATCTTTATGGGGTGGCCAATGTTATTCATGCTCAAATCAATGGCATTTCTAGGACATGCAACCCTCTTCATAATACCCATGGTCCCATGCTTCCCCTGTTCATCTAAATCTCCATGATGTAAGTGGGACTACTATCCATTGGTTGTGACTATTAAGCCATGCACCATTTCAAATTCAACCTTGATGAAGCTACTAATGGAACCTTTGCTGGTGCTACCATAGTTAAAAGGAGTCATCATGGATTGTTTTTGGTGGTTCGGGCTATATAATGGATGGTTTTAGAAAAAGAAATGCAAACATAAATATGTACCGCAAATAAACGGTTTAAAAATACCGATATCCCTTTTAGGCTCTTAGAGGCATGGGATGACAATTATCTAACAACAAGCTCGTTTTCAAAACCTAATCAGACCAGACGGTTGGATCAGAAAAATGAGAATTGGGACCTGACTGGTTCTGTTTCACCCCAAAACCGTTTTTTGACCAAAAAATGTTGATTTGGTTAGTAAAACACTACCCCAGTGGTCGAACCATTGAATTGTCAACTCAAACAACCAATTCACCCCAAAACCGTTTTTTTGTTTTCTTATTATTTTTAATTTTGTTGTCATAACAGTCCATCCATTTGGATCAGATGGTCAAACCATTCAACCCAGGAATCGGTCCCATAACGGTTCTTGACCGATCTAGTTTTAAAAACCTTGCTCTCCATAGTAAGACCGGTGGTTGTATGCATCTTGCTATATCCCCCACCCATTTAATCCCCTTTAATGTGTAATACGTCTATATCTATACTATATATAAAAGTGTGAATGTAGTGTAAACCTTTTCTTGGGCTAAAATTATTTTTTTATTTGATAAAGAGTATAAAAGTCATTTTATTGTAGCTTTAATGTCAACTTTAATGGTTGAAAATATAACTTCACTTATTACTTTCTACCTTATTTAATCCACTCCCATTAGGTCTTATACTTAAAGGTATTAACTCCCATTTTCTCTTATTAAATCCTATATTTAAGTTATTTTTCACCGATAAATGGTACTAATTAGATCTATGTCAGTATTTTTAACAATATAAACTCATATATTTTAAAACTAGCAAAAAAATAAAAAACATTCTTTATCCAAGTGATAACTAAGCAATTCAGCCATTAGAATCAAATTGATAAACCTATGAAGTCATATTTCGGTATTAAAATTTTAAAATATAAATAAATATATAAAATTACAAAAATGTAGAAAAAAATAGACACATTTATGAAACTTTTATTAATCAAGTTAAAAAAAGTGTAATAAAAATAATTATTTTTACTGATAATGAAAATGAAATACATACTTTAGAACTGACCAAAAATGAAAATCTTTTACTATTTGGCAAAGATCAATAGTTCAACTTTTGGGTCAAATGTATCAACATTTAATGTAATAAATAAATAATAAAATATAAGAATACATACATTAAAAAATACATAAATGTTGCAAAAGAAAATTAAAGCACATGTATAATATTAATTAATTATCATATTAAACAAAAAGTAAATGTGACATATCGAAATTATTTGTACACAGAAATATAAACATATATAGTAAAAATTGAACACATCTATAATTCTATATTTACACTACTATTAAAAATATAAATAAGATTGTGAAACTTTATTTTGGTTAAAATCAATGTTTTAAAAACCGACCCAAAAATCGGAACCGCTTTGACTTACGGTTTTCGAGTCAATGGTTCAACCATTGCTACAACACCGTTTACCCTCTTCTTACATCTCTTTCATCTCTCTAAATATTCCCCAAATCCCACATCATTTGATTTATTGGTGTATCTCAGATTTTAATATAAGATTGGTGTTTGATCTCTCATCTCTTGCACAAATTTTTCAACTTCATCATTGGAGTTACATTTTTTTTTGTTATAACTTAAAAAGAATCACAGGAACGAGAAAACTCAAAATAAAAATGGAAAAG